TTTTTAATGTAGTATATCTGTGAAAATATTCCCCCACTACTGCATGTGAACAAAACGATGTTGGTTGGTTCAGTTTGTTATTTTAGGGGTTGTGTGCAGCATGGAGCTCCATGTGTGTAGCTTGCTGACTTGGCATTGAATGTTGAATATTGCATTTAATATACAGAATGCTAAGGTCACGTACATAACAAATATGACAAATCATATTAATTTAATATTTATTAAGTTAATACAATATCAAAATGAATATTTATACATGCACAAATTATCTTCTTTACCGGTACCGGTAATTGATTGAATAGTTAAACAAATACCAGTGGACATTTTTATCCTTTATTGCAAATTTTCATGTCAGAAAACCTAAAAGTAGTTTCATAAGTTGAAATCAAAAAGCAGCTTTGTTAGGCAACAAAAGGAATCACTTTTCATATTTTAAACAATTATTTGTTGACTCTTGAATGCAACTAAACAATTTCCATCGATTTGAGTACTTACTGCCATGTGACAAGTTGAAGTTCCACAAATAATTGGTAGCCTTGACGTGATTGGCTGATTCTCACATGCAAGGTTATGACCTTTGACATCACAGGCAATAACACCTAACAAGTGATTTAGTGATAGAATAAAATTTATTGTAATGAATACAATGTACATTGTAGTTATATACTAACACTAAAACAGATCATCAGATCATTTGACTCTTAATAGTTTCTCTGAGTTCATCAATAATTTGGAAGATAATCTGAAACTTTTTAAAATTATTGATCTACAATTGTCCATAGAAACCAAAGTCTATTGACAATTCCAGAAACAAGCCAATAAAAAGCTGACTACTATGTGGGAAGTGACACAATAGCACTGAAGGAGACCATATAATGCATGACTGATCACCCTTACCTAGACCACCTGCATAGGCATCTACTAACCCAGCACCAACAGGTGTCCCCAGGATGAGTCCCAATTCACTAGCCGATTGTGCACTTAATCCTTTACCTACTGGCAAACCGGGCATCTGAACTTCAGAACCTGCGATAAAAAAAAACAGTTAAATTATGTAATTCATAGTTTGATATAGACATAAGTGTTGACAACAACGATATTTGAAAACTCTTGTATTGAATATACATCAGCATAATGAGAACCACCAAGAATAGAAATACTAATGAGTGAGTCTGTGAAAGTACCAGTTAATGTACAGACTAGTGTACTTGCTTAGGGCATGTATTACCTGGTATGTGTTTTTTCTTAATTTTTAATAGCCCGATAACTCATTCATTTCGGTTTATGCAACTAAATCTTTTCTAGCATCCATTTCATTTTGCAGTGCCATTGGTCAGAAATAAGTTTGACTGACGCATACATGCAACTAACATAAAATATGTGGTGTTCATTGCATATTACTATGAATGCATATATAACAATCAGACCAACAGAAACACAGAATGCCACTGATGTTTGTTGGTTTAACCACGGAAAGGTGGACCAGTGTAGACTAAAATGAGATTACTGATACGTTTTCACAACTTCCATAGCATCTTTAAGGAATATTTATTTCAATGTTTAACACGTGTTTATTGAGACTGTACAAAGGGCAAACCATCGTTACTTAACGACAGTAAAAAATGTGTATTGAAATAAAACGTTGATTTTTTTATACGAGAAATTGTTGTCCATGGTGGTAATGAAGTGTGTGTGCGAACAGATTGCAAAAAATGTGAAAACTGAGGTCGATACAGTCTGTTAACTATGGCCTATTTTTGCAAAAATGTCTGGCAGGATAGCATGCACAGATGCTGGCTACTGTAGTACATTGAATCATGACCGTTTTTCACCGATAGCCTGAAACTCCTCTGACCTGAAAAGGGTTAAATTCACCTCTATTATGGGCTTCTAACTCCCTTCACAATACAAATTTTCTGTTCGAAAATAACTTTTTTTCAGTAAGTGGTGATAAAAAGGTTGAAAGATTTTACTATGAAACTGACTCACCTATTTTACTACAGTTATTTTCATATAAATCATGAAGACCAATCTGCTGTAGGAAATCCTCGCTGAAATTCTGTGATGTTTCGTCAGCTAAATATAGCCATTTAGTTACCAGGGTTCCCAGTGATCTGAAAATTAAAACGTAGTCCAAATGTATTCTAACTTGTAAGAAGTTGAAAATGAAAGACAATCAGTAATACGAATAGAAGAATAAAGTAATGCAAAAAAAGGCATTGACTGCATGGACACAACACAGCTGGCTCATGCTATATACTTTGAGATTTGGGATAAGTTTAGAATTGCTCACAGACAGTTACTATGTACTGCCATCTTCCAATCAGTTTCTTTGCAACATTGTAATAAGCACTGGAAATTATCAAGTATATTTATTAGAATCGTTGTATTTATTTTATATCAATTTGTAAACTCAAAACTGATGTGTCAGAGTAGAGTGAACCAAGTGAGTATTGGTCACCAATTCTGAGAGAAGAAAAAATGCACTGGAGAGAAGCACTTTATTACTGAACTGCTTGGCCTGGAGCTGCATGAGCGGAAGTCCTCAAGGGATGTTCCAAACAAATTATCAATATCATTAGGCAAATGACACAATAGCCTCATATCATCACACTGCTAAAGGAAAGATTTATTGCTCAAGTTATGTAAGATCAAGTTTGCCATTTATAAGTGTTTTTCCCCACCTGAATCTGAAACACTGGCATGATGGTCACTATTTAGTTCTCTGGTCAAACTCAAGTTTGGTGGACTAGCATAGGAACATAATTTTAATTTGAATATAGAAGGCCAATCAAAAGCTTCTCCTTCACAACATTTGATGGAGGTAAAATGAAAAATGAACTAGTAAATGTAATTTCATACGTTGTAAAGTCAATGTGTTGATACCCAACATCCCTATGGAAATGGTTGTTCCAAGGGATATCTTGTCTCAATAATGAAAATACCAAAGCAAACATTGCTAGACACTCTTGAGAATGTAGCAATGAAAACTGCAGCAATGATTTTGAAATATGAATGTTTACTGCACCTTGTTAAAGAACCGGTTGCTCTCCACGTCAAGTAATCCGCTAAATCCAAGAAATGTCCT